AGGCACGTTACTTAAATTATATTTGCCCCTCTCACCATCTATAAAATGCAATAATAAAAATAAAATCTCAAGATTTTACATAAGATGATATGTATGTAAAACCTGCCAACAAGTAACAGCTTAGTAGTAGCATCCCCCCGGGCACTGGGATCTCACCACTGACATGAAACTTACATGCATAGTAGAGTAAATGTCCCATCAATGAATAAAAAAATAGTCCAGTAAGAAATGATGAATGACAGGATGGCTGCGCAGATAAACTAGAAAATAAAGGTTCCAGTTGTCTGGAACACATTCATTCTGCAAAATCAAGCATGATTTTAAGAATTTCATTCAAAAACACTGATTAAGTGCTAGGCACTATTTGATACTCTGGCGTCATAAGGGTGAGTCGTATGCTGCCAGATGAAAAAAGGGTAGGCTCTTTCAAAGAGAACTGTATTATAAAGAGGTGCCTAACCAGGGTTTAGGTAGAAGGTGGGAGAGGAAGGAGTTGAAAGAGTCATATTTTTAAATTAAATAGTCACCTGTCCCACAAGTCAATATCGACACAGCAAGAGCAGACCAGTCTACACCGCACATTTTGTCTCCCTTCCTTAACACAGAGCTTGAATAGTGAAACATTAAGAAAGATACCCTGGAGATGTTATTCCAGGTGATGGAAGTGTCTTATATTTTGTTGGATGTGGTGGTTGCACAGTATATCCACTACCAAAACAAAAAATACTAAACACATAAGAAATATATGTCTTACTCTAAGCTAACTCACATCACCATTGTAATAAAATAAAATAAAATGTGCTCCCTGCTTTTCTGAATGGAAAATGTGAGAATTTAAAAGGAGCATAAGCAATCTATAATTCATTATAAAATGAACTACAGGATGATCTGATCACTTTCCAAACAAGATATTCTTTTAACTTTTCAGATGAGAAATTACTGGGATTCCCTGTGTTCTCGATTGTTGCCTAATCTAGGAATGGACATACATTTTTCTTTTTAGCCACATTTCACCTGTTGTTCAACACTGGCTGTTTGAGAATTCACTGTCAGTGGGAAATCTGCTTGCTTGTTTCACTGCTCGCCTTGGGTACTTTGGAGGAAAATAACGCGGGAGGAAACAGGACAGGCAGTGGCGTTTTCAACTAGAAACCCAGCCCCCAGCCCCCAGCTCTAGGACTGGAAAGTGCAGGGCGATGTTGGACAGGTCACTCCAGGATCCTGTGCCAGTAATAACCTTCTACCACAGGGCTGTCCTAAGGATACAGTGGCAGCACTTGGAAGAGTCAAAGCAATATATCATGCAGTGGTTCTCAACCTTCTGGCCCTTTCAATAAAGCTCCTCATGTGGTGACCCAACCATAACATTATTTTCGTTGCTACTTCATCACTGTCATGTTGCTACTGTTATGAATCGTCATGTAAATATCTGATACGCAGGATGGTCTTAGGCGACCCCTGTGAAAGGGTCGTTCCACCGCCAAAGGGGTCGCGACCCACAGGTTGAGAACCGCTGTAAGTGACATGGGTTGACAAGACACTGTAGCGGTAGTCAAGCCCCAGACTTCATCCTGGCATGTACATGTCCTTAGGGAACTCCGTATCTATCTCATTTGAACTGGAACAGAATGTTCAAGGGACAGAAACAGGTTACTCCCACTCCACAAAAAGGGGGGGGGGGGGGCGAGGGGGCTGGGTGGGTGGGGTCGCTTCCGCTACCAAACTTCCAGAACTCTAGATCTCTGGAATGTGATCTGCTGTGACCTAGTCCATTTTAAAAGGTAGATGCGGGCGTTGGGCCTGGCTCAGACCCATGCTTCCGGTCCCTAAGCGTGTCAACCATCACTGGGAAGTGACCTGCCCAGGAGTCCAGGAAGCTTGGCTCCTAAAATGCCGCAGAGTGTCGGGCGAGCCACCAGCCGGAGTTTTCCGAATTCCCTCCCCGAGCACCAGCACAACCCCCCCAGATCGCATGCCTCCCTTGCCTGAGGTCCACCCGCCACGCTCCCGCCCCCTGCCACGCCAGGTACCGCGGCCTCGGGCCCCCGTCCTGTGTCTCCTCCCCAGGGCCGCCAGCCTCACCAGCGGTTCCCGGCGGCTGGAGCTCCGATCGGGGGGGCGCCCGGCGGCCCCCCAAACATTAACGGACACCCAGGAGCCTGGCCTCGAGGCTCAGGCCCGAGAAATTGCCCTCCAATCGGCGCAACCCCCAGGGAATTGGGGGCCGAGCGGGTTCAGCATTTTTGAAGCGGGGTTTCCCGGGAACCCGATGGAGGGCGGGAAACCGGAAAGTCGGAAGGCAAACCACCTCCGCCCTCTCCCCCCCCCTCCAGAACGTGTGTTTGCTCCACCCTGGAATCCCCCTGGTTTTTTTTCCCGGAGGGGGAGGGAAAGAAATTTTG